ACAATATCTTCTGGAGACTCCACGCAAAAAGATCCCTGGTGTCCTCACCGGGACGCGAACCAGGAACCTTCTAGCTGTGAGGCGACGATGCTAACCACTGCGCCACCTTGCAGCTTTATTTCGGACAGACTGCAGCATATGTCACATCGTTTTCCTTCCAATGAAAAAGAGGATTTTCCTGTTCTTAACACACTTGTCTTGTCATGTCGTTGACTGAACCTGAAACTTTTACAATCGTTCATTTGATGATGTGGTCGTTATTATGAAATCATTTGTGTGAAAATAAGGCCAGAAAAGATGTCAGGATATTCTCAATGTGTGAAACGAACCTCTCACATTCATTTGTATGATTTCTTCATTATCACAGGAGACGCTGGTGAACTTGGAAAGACAAATATACGCATTTGAAGGCAGCTACCTAGAAGACACTCAGATGTACGGAAACATCATCAGAGGATGGGACCGATACCTCACCAACCAGAAGTAAGCAGCTCACATAAACCACAAATGATTAGCAGAGAGAACAGTGAGGTGAAGTCCTACATACAGGTTTACAGGTATTGGCTGTATACGATCGGGTTCAAACTGTTTAATTCTGTTGTGGAGGCAACTTTATTAGAATATTTTGTTGTATCTTAAATCAGGAACAATGTGAGAATTCAAAGTTATTTCTTCATCAAATCGTTTTTTTTAACAGAAACTCCAACAGTAAGACTGACAGAAGAAACAGGAAATTCAAGGAAGCAGAACGTTTATTCAGCAAGTCGTCTGTCACATCAGTTGCAGTAAGGCCTTTTCTCGTTGGGTTGTTTCACAGAATATTTTAGTCGCATTTGCTGCCCAACAAAACATCTAATGAGCTGCTTTCTTGTTTGATTTCCAGGCGGTTTGTGCGCTCGGTGGGATTCCAGATCACATGAATGAAAAGCGTGAGTTCCTTTTGAAACTCTCTTGATCTGAGCAACGTTTGAAAAGTCTCCCATTTGTTATCTTTCCGACGCTGACTTTGCGCCGACGTCCGGCTTCCCTCAGGTGAAGCAGGCAGCGGCACAGAAAGCGACACCTCCCCGGACCTGCAGAACCAGGAGAACGAGCCGAGCCAGGAGGACACGGAGGACGTGGACTCGACCCTGCAGGACCTGAAGCCTCAGAAAGCCGCCTCCTCCTCCTCCTCAGGCAGCCATCACGGGAGCCACAAGAAGAGGAAGAACAAAAACAGACACAGGTACAAAATCAAGATTTAAGACTTCAGCGGGCTGTTCGATCTCATCCAGATTCAGGATTTCTGGTGTAAGGAGCTGAAACTGTTCACAGCTGATCAGTGTGTTTGAAGTAAAGGAACCTGGAAGTTGGACTGCACGATCACACTGAATGAAAACCTGTAAAGTCGACGTATACATGCAGCAGGAGGTCATGTTGTCCTCCCTGCGCTGACCTTAACGGTTTAGATGTTCAGTTTAGTTTTAACTATAAGTTATGGGTGAGTTAATGTGAGTAAACTGTCCGCACGTTTGAATCCTGATGTGGCAGCCGAGTGTGTACACGGGTGAATAAAGGACACATTTAAAAGGGTTTTGGCTAAAAGTTCTGTACAAATTGAGTTTATTTCTTTTACACAGTCTGGTGCAGCAGTGTTGTCAGGCCGTGGTTGGTAAGGAGCCCTTCAGGAACATGTGGTGACTGTTCCCTTGAAAGTGGGGAACCTGTAATCCACTGAGCTGATTGGTACAAATACCATTAAATCTAAGTTTTCCCACACAAATCTTGTATTAAAAAACTCAGACAACACGCTAGCAAACACACAAGTTATGTTCGAAACTAAGCGGTAACAACAGTAGACTTGTAGTTAAAGCAGCTCACACTCTCAGTTTTCTTTCGAGGACAAACAGCAAGTTTCTCGTGCACATTGCTATCGCTAAGTCACAGTAATCTGATTACTTAAAGTAGTAGTACTTGTCATTTTTCACGTGTGACCCACAAAAGAAAATACCAAAATGCCTGCGTGTGATCTTTAATTGCAGTTCATGGCCTCGTTTAAACTAGGTCAGATTTATTTATTTGTTTATTGTTATTTTACTGAACTAAATGAGAGTTTTTTGCTGCAGTCTGTACCAAACGTGTTCCCGTACCTGTGAAGAATGTGATTTGGAGGCTGAGGCGTCTCTGTAGCTTCACAAAGCTTCATTTGTTATCGTACGTTGTGACACGTTTGACCTTTTTATCAGAAACTGGCAGCTCTGGTGATTTGCATATTTGCATTTGGCCTTGTTGCAGTTTTGATCATGTTTTTGTGTTTTTATTTTCTCAGGTAGTTTCACTTGAAGGAAATCTAGAAACACAGACGTAAACGCCAAACACCACAACACTGTAGTAGATGAAGATGAATTTGAAAGCTGTTCTTTTTTTCCCCCCAGAGCATAAACTTCACTGAACTATTCCAGTTTTGTAAATCTACGAGTGTATGTAGTCAGACTGTGAACAAACGGTTAATAAATATCTGCTCTGTCAGTGTGAACGTTGTTTCTCGGAGCTCACAAACGATCTAATGTGGTTAACGTCAGCGCTTTGCCTCCACGACGCCGGTTCTCTTGACTCGGCGTCGCTGTTCTACCTTCATGTTGAGCAGCAGGTGCTGAGGCGTAACTCTGGACTGCAGTGTGTTTAGGTTTTAGCTCAGGTTGGTGAACTAACAGCTGCTGCTCTCTTCCTCCCCTAATGCTGCCCCCCCCACCCCCAGCCCTTCTGCCATGTTTGATTATGACTTTGAGTAAGTCTGAATTTTACATTCTGCCTGCTGTACAGTCCATCCTCCACCTTTCCTCCTGCTCTCTGCCTGCGTCTCCTGCTTTGGTCTTTGAGTTCATCCTGCCTGTTTTTCATTCTGCATGTCCAACCTTTCATCCTTTGGTTCTGAATGCACATGGGCATCTGGCACCCGGAGCTCCATCACACTTTCCTGCTTGTTGAAGGGGAACTTTTCACGTCTTTTCTGTCTCCGATTCATTTCCGGTTTGCTTCCCCAGCTCCAGCAACGAGCTCCACCGTTGCTGGTTGCTCGTCAGACGGTGGTTTGTTTGAGATCTGAACAAGAACGAACACACGGTCATTTAGAGTTCTTGTTGTGGACTTGTTTTTTTAAGGCTTCTTCATGGTACAGTAGTGGCACCGCTTCACCATAAGTCCCATCAGAACCGGGTCCGGTGTGGTCACCTCTAATGCAGCTGCTCTGCTTCTGTTGCAGGTTTGACATGAAGGTGAACAAGAAACCCAGAGCTGTAAGTTCACCTCTCTGACTCTCGTCTGGGCTCCTCGTGAGCAGTTACAACCACAGAGCTCCTTATTTTCATTTTCCTCATCAGTTTGTTTTTAAAATGTAAGAAATTAAACCAAAAAACGCTCATAGTTTAGTTTTCTTCTGTTTGGTTTCATCTGACCGACCGTTTAAAACCTGAAATATTCAGTTTACTGTCATGTGTGACAAAAAAAATCATCTTTTTTTCCCGTTTTTTTTCATTCTCGCATGATAAAATGACTAGAAGTAGAATACAGTTACTGTAATGTTTTATATTTCTGTGAATTCACTAATAGGTTAAATACTTAAACAGTAATAAGTGTTTTTACTTTTAAAAAAAATCGTTTCCTTTTTGTTTTTTTCTCGATAAAAATGACTAAAACGAATGTTTGATTGTTAAAATTTTTGATTAATTTCCTATCAGCCCGCTCACCAGCTACATCCAGCAGCTTTAACTATAATAAATGTCTTTACTGTGGTCATTTATCTTTTGTTTTCCATCTTTGTCTTTTCTCACTAAAAAATGACTAAAATAAATATTCAGTTATCAAAATAATTAATATCCTGATAATACACTAATTAGCCACTTGTTGCAGCTTTAACTATAATAAATATCTTTAATTACGTCATTTTTCTTATTTGTCTTTCCCACAAATGACTGAAATGAGTATTTGATCATTAAAATATGAGATAAATTTAAATTAATCCACTGATGGACTCCGTACTTCAGCTTTAACTTTTTTTGGTCCCTTTTGTTTTCTTGTTCAAAAATCAGAACAGTTGATGAATTCACTTTGTGGTTATTTGCAGCAGCTTTAAAGTCTCTTTAGCCAAATCATTTATTTCATCTTTTGTTGTCTATTTTTTCCACTTAAAAATGACTAAAACATGTGTTCAGTTACCAAAATAGTATACTGATATTGTGGAAATCCACTAATTGACAACTTATATCAGCTCTAACTGTGGTCAATGTCTTTAAGTCCATAATTTTCTTCATGTTTTGTCTTCTGTCTTTATCTTTTCTAGTTTGAAAATAAGTCAAATACATGTTTAATGATCAGAATAATTCTCTATCGACTCCTTACTGCAGCTCTAACTGTGATAAATGTCTTTACTTGCATCACTTTTTACTTTCCTGTCTCTTCTCTTTGCCGTTTCCACCTAAAAATGACTAAAACCAGCATTTGATCATTAAACTAGTTCGTTAGTTTTCCATTAACCCACTGACTGACTCCATACCTGTGATAAACACCTTTACCTGACTGCTGCTCTCCTCCTCCTGCAGGATTATTCCACCTAACAAAGCCGCCGGGCGCATCTGGACACACTCGAGGAAACGTGTAGAGAAACACAACATTTCTGGACTTTGTGAACTTTGTATACCTGATTTTATTTTGTCGTCATTTTTCAGCCTGTACTGTGTGTATCGCTTGAAACATTCCCCCCCCGGCCACCTGCCTCCGGTCCCGGTTCAGATTCTGAGCTGCCGGTTAGCGTAGAACCACGGCGTTGCATGTTACTCGCGGCCCGTCGAGGCAAACCTCCAGTAACATCTTGTATAGTGTTAAAAAACAAAAAGAAGACTGTATTTATTATGTCGCTAATTTTCATGTTTCCCATTGTAAGAAGGTTTTTGTCGAGCGCCACATAGTCGTAACCCCTCCTGCCCCGACCCTGAATTCTTTTATGACATTGTTTGTTTTGCAAAAAAATAATAAAAGAGCGGTAACGTGAACAAGCTCTGGTTGTTTGTTGAAGCCTCCGTGGTATGTGGCCGTCGCTGAAGCCTGTGATTTGGCCGATAGCTGAATTCCCGGCCGTAATAACGGGCCTGAGTCTTTGCTGTCTGCTGCGTCCATCGCTGGCCGCCTTCAGTTCCCACACATGTCCGCCATAAAAAGTTAAGAGTCCAAACATCGCCAGTGTTTACACAAGTTATGCAGAAAATAACCGGCGCATTCTCTTCTGGCAGCTCTGAGAGTGTTTCATGAAAATATTAACCAGAAGGAGACCTGATGGGAGATTGTTTCTCTGTTGTCAGCATAAATATCTGTGAGTTGGATGTAATGTGGGCTGCAGGGTGGCGCAGTGGTTAGCACCGTCGCCTCACAGCTAGAAGGTCGCCGGTTGGCGTCCCGGTGAGGACACCCGGGATCTTTCTGCGTGGAGTCTCCATGTTCTCCCCGTGCAGCGTGGGTTCTCTCCGGGTTCTCCGGCTTCCTCCCACAGTCCAGAAACATGTTGAGGTTAATTGGTGATTGTAAATTGTCCGTAGGTGTGAATGTGAGTGTGCTTGGTTGTCTGTCTCTAAGTGTAGCCCTGTGATAGACTGGTTACCTGTCCAGGTGAACCTGCCTTCACCCTGAGTCAGCTGGGATAGACTCCAGCCCCAGTGTGTAGATAATGGATGGATGGATTTAATGTCAAACTATATGGAGTTGCAGCATGTGGTCAGAGTGCAGCATCACAGTGTGTCACCAGGTGGCGCCAGAACCCACGGCTGTAAAAGGCTGATGGAGGTTTCACACCAAACTTCCTGCTTTATTCATTTATGTTGGATGTTTATATGTAAAGATAATTTCCACTTGTGCGACACAATAATTACTTTTTATAAAACTCAGACGCTCACGTTTTCAGTGCACAACACGTTATCTTCTGCTCAGAATGACTTTGGGGAGTTTCTGGTTTGACATAAACGCGACCAGTTCACGTACAGTAAAGTCTGTTTTTTCTCATTTGACACAAATCTGTGCGTTTTCCTTTTTATTCTGACCTTCTAATAAGCAAAAATGTTGTTTATTCTGGAGTGAACGAAACCCCAAGTTCACTGAGCCGCTTAAACATCGAGAGGTTTTTATGTTTTCATGTTGGCTTTATGTATTTGTGCTTGATGCTGGCTGACAGCCTCCTCAGGAGGTAGCACAAGTTCATCTACGGAGGAAACACCTGCAAGAAGACTCATCATTTTAGATGGAGAAGCATTGGAGCATGAGAGAATAAAATGTGCTGCAAGTTAGTAGCAGCGATGGTGAAATAAAAAGTAGTTTTTAGGTAAAGCTAAACTTTTAAGTGTTTCATTCGTTAATACGGTCTGAATGAGTTTATTGACAGGAGTCTGATGAGAAAAGCAGCACAACAGAACCAACAGGTACAAACTGAGGTCTCTGATGTCATGTTGTCATGGTAACTGGCTGAACTTAATGGAACACTCTCCTGATCATACAATCAGATAAAACAGGAATTTAAAGATAAAAGGAAGCGATGAAGGTCTGAGTGTTTGAGGTTCGACTGCAGCAGCAGATGTTTGATGTGATCAGTTATTTATTTGGGCTTTTGTGTTGTCAGATCAGGAGCTCCTGGACGGTTTCTAAACCAGATCACTATTACTTAAACCTACTAATAAAGTTTAAATGAGCTTTAACAATAAAATAAACAAACTGGTCCAATTTAATCTAAAGTTTTTGACACATATGATTAAAGCTGTAAATCATCATGAGTTAGACGAATCCCGGGACAGAAAACAAAGTGGGGTGACATTAGTTTAACTTACAATCTATACTCACATCTGATTTTCACTTTACTCTGAAATAACTAGAAAATGATTCACTTCTCAGGTTAAGATATAAAGATTTGTGGACTGAGGTCTGAACAACCGCTCTGATGAGGACAGCAGATTAAAAGTACAGTCGTGACTTGATAATCCGACCCTTAACAATCCGACATAGAAGAAGGTTTTACATTTAGTGTCGGATCATCGAGTCATGGCTGTATTTGATGCTGACGCTTTAATTAAACGCTAACTTTTGACCGTCTCTTTTTATACTTTGGTAAATAGAGCTGCTTGCTGCTAACTGAGACCCAGATAACTGGTCTGTCTGTTAAAATGAACAAAGTTTCCTTAAATACTAGAAGATGAAGAATTCAAAAGAGGAACTGAAGCTGATCTGGGATCAGTTCAGAAGCAGAATCACTGAGTAGGTTTTCACATACGAGGAGTCTGACGTGATGTTTTGGTGGATAACAGTGAACTATGAATTATCAAATAAAGAAGTAACAGCAGTGAGTTCTCTGCACCGACAGGTTGGGAGAGGATTTGGATGCTGTTCTGCAGCTTGTTTCTCTGGGATCCTGTTTTTCTTGCTTTCTTGGGTGTGTGAGTTTGGAAATGTGGATTTGTTTGGTAACAATACTACAAGACATTCAAGGATCATGGATGTAAAATAGAATAGTTAAAGAAAAATCATTCCAAAAACAATGTACACGGTTTAAACCAGCAGGATCTGAAGGCTCTGAAGAGGACAGTCCTGCACTAAACCCCTCCTTTAAAACCACAAGTTGCTTCCACGCTAGCATTTTATGCTAAGCTAATGAGCACCTAAGCTGTTCCTTTAAGGTTCTCTCCTGTGTGGGTCTGTGGGTGAAAACTTGCTTTAAAGCCCCTCAGCTGTGCAGCAGAAGGAGCTTCATCAGTCAGAGCCTGGACGTCTCCTCACGGCGTCCTGAGGACACGAAGCTGCTGACAAACACACATGATGGAGAGACTGACTGGGAAGAGTCCATTCCTGGAAAACATTCCTGGGTTTCGTGCGGCTCCAACCCACAGTCACATTTCATCTGCCGTCATGACACACGGACTGTTTGCACTGCAGAGTTTTCAGCTGCAGCTCTGCATGAGCGCCTCGGTCCAAACTGAAATATCCCAACATCTGCTGGATGGATTGTAGTGAAACTCTGGACAAAACATTTATATAATTAGTGAAACCATTGACAGTGTGGCTGTTGTTTTGCTACGGGATGTGGTGCATTTTCCTCTCAGGATAACTTGTAAGTCTAATCAGCAAATGTTAGCATGCTAGCCATGTTAGCAGAATGTTTCTGGAGGCCAACTTCTGGACAGCTCCCAAAGGGTGAATCCTAAATTAGAATATGTGTAATTAAAATGAAAAACACAACAAAACTGTAAAATATATCCACGCAAAACAGCCATATTTTACCAGATAAGGACATGTGTATTTTTACATTTCTGTCTGTAAAATTTCTGAATTTAACCTTAAATAAACACCCATTAGGTGATCATTATTGTTCAAATATTTGTTGTTATTATAAAGAAAGGAAACCCTTTTGTGAGGGTTTAAAAGTGTAAAATAAAAAAACAGTTTTAAACACCCCATTAGTCATGTGTGTTTGTTCACTGTTTTAGCTTATGTCAGCTAACATTTGATAGCATTTGTTTTTTAGCACTTAATACAAAGTAGAGAAGACGTTTCTGTCCAGAGCTACACTGCTAACATGGCTAAACATATGTTTTTTTTTATAGACAGCATGCTAATATGGTGATGTTAGCATGATAGCAGGTATAGTGTTTAATATGTTCACTGTCTTAATTTCTCATGTTAGTGTGCTAACAGTACTGTTCTGTGTGGTAAGTGTTGATGCCTGTCTCCTCATGTTACCGCGCTAACACAAGAAGCTAACCCGGTGAACATATCAAAAACTATGCCTACTAGCATGCTAACATCAACATGTTAGCAAGCTGATGCTAGCATTAAATACCTGATTAGCCACATAGCTTTGCTCACCGTCTTAGTTTATTATGTCACAGTAGCCGTTCTTACTGTTAGCAACTTCACCACCTTAGTTTCTTGTGTTAGCATGCTAACAGGATTAAACCTGGGCTTAGCCACGATAGCAATGTTGTGTATTTAGTGCTATGAAACAAATGCTATCAAATGTTAGGTAGCATGGTAAACTTAGGCGTTGAACGATCATACATGGCTCAACAGACATTTAAAACTAGCATTGGCTTGCTAATATGTTGATATTAGCATGACAGCAGGCATAACATTTAATATGTTTACCAACTTAGTAGCTCATGTTAGCATGCTAACAGCCTTAAGTGCGTTTAGCCACATTAGCAATGTTGTTCTGCGCGGCAAATATTGATGCTCATTAACGTAATGTGTATTTGATATCACACAAATTATTTTACATGAACAAAAACTGACAATATACAGGCTGCTAAATGTAAATATATATATTATTAATGCACAGGTTTGAATTGCAAAATATGATGCGATATGAGTGAAATATGTCGTCCATTTAGTTCTACACATTCATGTTTCCACAAAAACTGAACAAAGTACTACTGTATTTATATGTATTTTTTAGAATAGTTTATGTTTCTGATGTAACGTTGAGGTTTGTGGATGTGTCACTTCACTTTACTACCTGAGCAGGTGATTCATGTCTGATGACTCGCTGTCAGCGCCGCTTTGGAGACATTTTGCACATTTTTCTGCAGCAGTGTTATTTCCCTGCTTCCTCCCACATCTGCTGGACGCATCCAGCTCATCGCCGCGCAGCGACCAGGTTACATGTCGGCCATGACTCAGACACCAGTCACATCCAGAGCTGTCAGCGTCTCCACTACGTAATGCGATCTGGCTGCAAACTTGCCCTCACAACAGAAACACATTCCACATGTTGGACCTTCGGGGCGTGTGTGAGTAATGAGGCATGGATGTGTAATGTGTGTTACGCCACTTAACAACAAATCTTAGCTCCGTTTCCCGCCGCTGCAGGAAATTATCTGGAAAGAGTCGACCGAGGCGAAGCTTTAATTCAGCTGCTGGAGACCAAACTGGATTCCTGAACCGAAGTGATTCAGCTGTGTGGACCGTTAATGGGAGATACTGTAATATTACCAAACAGGACTGGTATTTCCTGGAGTCCACATCA